GTCATGGTGGTTGTGTCATTAGTGTCATGGTGGTTGTGTCGTGTCGTTGTGTCATTAGTGTCATGGTGGTTGTGTCGTGTCGTTGTGTCATTAGTGTCATGGTGGTTGTGTCGTGTCGTTGTGTCATTTGTGTTGTGGTGGTTGTGTCGTGTCGTTGTGTCATTAGTGTCTTGGTTACTTGTGTCGTGTCGTTGTGTCATTAGTGCCGTGGTTACTTGTAGCCAAGTTATTTTGTGGACTTTGCTGAAGGATGGGGTAAATGAGTCTAGGCCAAAATGAGCATCCATTCTTCATTGAATTTATTTCCTTGTTACGCATCATACAGAAGAGTGGAATATCACATATAGATTAGGTTGTCCATAATAATTTATCACGTAGTTTTGCATTTTGTATGGAAAATTACGCGTATTTAAGAAAATCAATTTGGCACTATCTTATAGTAAGATCTTATAATCGTATAATTATTAGTGCTTATATTCCATGATTACTATTATGTGTGTCGTACTGTCTCGTGCTTCAGACAGTATCTTGTCATTGTCTGCAGATAATAATTTATTTATTTATTCACCAGGTGGCGCAGTGGGTGTATTCTCACATGGAGGAAAATGAGAAGAAAGTGAAGCTAGGAGACATGCTCAAGGACAAAAATGTTAAAGTTACATTCATGCCTTATGATTGGAGCATGAACTCTCAGTAGCAGTTGCCTGTGACTCTCGTATATAGAAAACCTTGTGGAAGTGTAGTGTTTTGACGGGTAACCATATAATAACTAATTTATAGCTGGCTTTATGTCATTAAAAGTGTGATATTATACCGTTTGTATATTAGTTCTTGATTTTGTGTGTGATTATGACTAATACATAATTATCTTGTATCATTGTGGTCACATTGTGTTTGAAACTGAGAATGCCACTAGTTATGTAGTTTCATTATGCAGATCAGAATTATTCTTGTCTGTTATTATTTGTGATCTTATATCTTATGCAAATTGCCATATGTGATATTTGTAATTATAATCTCTGGAATTGGAAATGTCCTATTCTTGGAACCATGCGAGCAGCTAACATTAGCCTTTTGTCAGGTTTCTCTTTTGCATGCCTGCTCTCTTCATGCCCCCATGTCCCTCACACTCCCTGCTTCCTCTTCTCAGTTTTTCCTACCAGTGTACTGCTAACCTGGCACTCCCTCTTTCCATGTATATATAGGGGAATTTTGCAGAAAATATAGGTTTATATTCTTTATTGTTGTTATAAGTTGCAATATTCATAAAATCATCAGCTTGTTTTAGTAAAGTAAAGGAATGACGTACTGGTTTGTTACTAATACCAATATACAACAATATATATATATATATAAATTGTTTGTTGTGCCACTTTATAAACCAAAGCTTCCAGGATAGTAATATGACTTGTGAATGGATGAATTGAATTATGAGAGTGAAAATACATACATGCAATGAAGATTATTTGTTAAAAGGACATGCAAGTCATTTATTGCTTTTACATGTAGGCCAGCACAGGCATACACTACATCCTACTACCGAAAAAATACATCTATACACATGCACACAGGCATACTAGCATTATCCGTTCAAACTAACTCGGCCTGTATTGTGAACCCATATAAATGATGATTCTTTATTTTTAGCTCATCTGACGTAGTTGGATGCAGCTTGTAGAATCGCATGAGCATGCGTCCGGACTTGCATGCGTCCGTCCGTCCGTCCGTCCGTCC